CTCCATCAGCCTCAGACCAGAAGAACTAGATGGTGCCCAGCTATCACCAATGACTGCCCTGACAGGGAACATAACAGAGAGTCCCTGACAGAGCAGGAGAAAAGTGGGGTGCAGAACTCAAATTCTAGTAAAAAGACCAGACTTCATAGTCTGACTGGAAGAACCCAGGAAGACATGGCCCCTGGACTCTCTGTTATCCCAGAACTGAAACCATTCCTGAAGCCAACTCTTCAGACATAGATTAGACTGGACTGTAAGTCATAAAATGATACTCTATTGTAAAGAGAGTGCTTCTTAGCTCAAGTAGATACATGAAACTAAATGGGTAGCTGCTGGGTGGAGGCAAGATGAGAAGGCAAGAAGGACAGGAGCCGGTTGAATGGACACAGGAATTCCAGGGTGGAAAGGAGCAGTGTGCTGTCACATTATAGAGCAACTAGGGTCATATAACAATGTGTTTATAAATTTTTGTATGAGAAACTAACTTAACTGTAAAGTTTCACTTAAAGCACAATTAAAAAAACAAAAACAAAAAAAATGTGGTAGAGAGAAGACATTCTACAGATCACCAGAGTACTGAAAGAATCTGAGAAAAGATCAGTATGGATGGTGGTAATAAGGAGGTATAGTTGGTGGAAAATGCAATTTCCCCTTAAGACAAAATTGGTGAGGTTTTCAGTCATAACTTACAGGGTGTAGCCATTTGGAATTAATTTGTTAAAAAAAATAACTTAGGTCTATGTGGTTTCTTTGTCCCATAAAAAATAACTTGTATTTTAGATAAAATTATCACCTGAGAACTATCTGTGTTTTAATCAAGAAATATGAAAATATGAATTAGGACCAAAACGGGCAGAACTCTAAAATAGATGACATTATTTCTTCAGAAAGACTCTTAAGACCTATCTTAACTCAAGCTAATCGAGCTTATTTTAGACAGTATTACCTATAAATTTAACAGGTTATCTGATTTCAGAAGGCCAGGAGAAGAAGTTGTTGAGGTCAAACATTGACAATGAAGGAGTTGGAAAAATTAAAAGCTCACAAATTCTAGCATAATGGTCTCATTACGGAGAAATAGCTCTGTACACCCACCTCAGTGACACTGAAAACATTTAGCATCGCAATGTGATACAAAACATTTGCTTAATGAATAACGGGGATGTTGAAACCAAACCAAAAACCCATCGCTGTCGAGTCAATTCCAACTCACAGTGACCCTATAGGACAGAGTAGAACCACCCCATAGGGTTTCCAAGGAGCACCTGGTAGATTTGAAATGCCAACCTTTTGGTTAGCAGCCATGGCTCTTAACCACTACACCACCAGGGTTTCTGAAATGTTCTAGAATAAGTTAAATTACTTGATAATCCACTAACAGGACATAGAAATGTGTGATAACATTTTGAAAAGTGATGAGCATCAGTGGCCTGGAAATTTATGTGAAAATATTTCATTTGAAATCTGGGTTAAGTGAAGTGTCAGTGTAAATATGCTTGATGGTTAATAACACTCCAATTTGGCCAAGGCCAAAATTGATTGTACAATACCAACATTCTCGAGTACGATTAAGTCTTAGGGGAGCAAAAGAGGAGGAACACTTGGATCTCCTTGGCTTCAATATAAAATTATCCTTTTTTACATCAGAAACGATTAAGGCCACAGATAAGGAATACACTGGCTCACAAATGACTAGTTTACGTTGAAAGACAAAGGGTTCTTTTAAGATCCCTTTTTTAAAGCAACTAATTCTTCATAGAATAAAAATAAAATAATCCAAAACAGTATTTGCTCTTTATTATGTTTTTGAGGGCACAATACCTATGGGATTCTGCTCATCCAATGCTTGAGATGCAAAAACTGATAAATGGATTGGACAGGATCTTAATAGTAAGTCAAGAGTAAGTAAAAATAATAGCTAAACACATATTTGGTGCTAACTATGTACCAGACACTGTTCTAAGTGCTTCTTTCATATAATAATCTACTAATCCTCAAAACAATCCTATGAGATCATCTCCATTTGATTATCATCCCCATTTTACAGACGAGGAAACTGATGTACAGGAAGACTAAATAATTTGCCCAATGACACAGGTAGTAAGTGGCAAACACAAAAATTTAACCCAGTCTGGCTCCAGTGGCAGTACTCTTAAGTATTCTAGTCTATTTACAGAAACGTCAGCTCTAATAGTGAGGAAGGCATGTGAAATATATGGGTCCCGATTTGTTAACTCTCAACATAAATAAAACAGAAATCCTCACAACTGAGCCAATAAGCAACATCTCGATAAACACAGAAAAGATTGAAGTTGTCAAGAATTTCATTTTACTTGGATCCACAATCAACACCCATGGAAGCAGCAGTCAAGAAATCAAAGGATGCATTGTACTGGGCAAATCTGCTGCAAAAGACCTCTTTGAAGTGTTGAAAACCAAAGAAGTCACCTTGAAGACTAAGGTGTGCCTGACTCAAGCCATGGTATTTTCAATTGCCTCATATGCATGTGAAAGCTGGATGATGAATAAGGAAGATCGAAGAAGAACTGCCGCCTTTGAATTGTGGTGCTGGTGAAGAATATTGAATATACCCTGTACGGCCAAAAGAACGAACAAATCTGTCTTGGAAGAAGCACACAACCTGAATGCTCCTTAGAAGCAAGGATGGCAAGACTACGTCTTCTATACTTTGGACATGTTATCAGAAGGGATCAAGCCCTGGAGAAAGACTTCATGCTTTGTAAAGTAGAGGGTCAGCGAAAAAGAGGAAGACCTACAGTGAAATAAATGGATCGACACAGTGGCTGCAACAATGGGCTCAAGCGTAACAATGATTGTGAGCATGGCGCAGGACCGGGCAGTGTTTCGTTCTGTAGTACACAGGGTCGCTATGACTTGGAATCAACTCGACAGCACCCAGCAACAACATTTGTTAACTAAGGTTCCTGGGTGGCACAAACGGTTTGCAGTTTGTGCTCCACTAGCAGCCTAAAGGAGCCCTGGTGGTGCGGTGGTTAAGAGCTTAGCTGCTAACCAAAAAGTTGGCAGTTCGAATCCTCCTGCCTATCCTTGGAAATCCTATGGGGCAGTTCTGCTCTGCCCTATAAGGTCACTGTGAGTCGGAATTGACTTGACAGCAATGAGTTACTAGCCTAAAGGTTGATGTTTGAACCCACTTAGCGACGCTGCAAAATAAAGGCCTGGTGATCTGCTTCCATAAACGATGACAGCCAAGAAAGCCCTACGGAGCAGAGTTCTGCTCTGACACATAAGGGTCTCCATGAGTCAGAATCGACTCTATGGCAAAGCAACAGGTTTGTTTTTCGTTAACCGGGATGTTGCCCAGTGTAATGGAAAGGGCACAGGCCATGAATAAAAAATGGATACCCTGTGTTTTGATTCAGCCCGCTGAAATTACCTTTGACTCTGTTTTACCACTAAATGAATTTCTAGTTGGCCAAACCCAACTATTTTCAGCCCTTACTTTACAGGATCTTTATGTGATTGATATTGTTGACCATGTTCTCCTTGACATTCTCCTTCCTTGATTGTAAACACTATGTTCTTTGGTTCTCACTCCTCTGCTGGGTCCTTTTTTTTGTTCCTTTTTCTCTGCCTGCTCCCTTACATGTTGGTGTTTTATTGAGTTCCTTCCCTCTTATTAGGCAAGATTACCATAGGCACTTCCAACTTAACATTCTCTTCTCTTCCCTATAGCTCCCCACTGCCAAACAGGATCATGCAGAAAAATTAAAATTAATGGGGGCTGGTGGGATAAAGTCTGGGAACATAGACTCCTGCAGAACTATTTCATATATCCATGTTTCTTCTAATAGGAAGATTAAGGATTCCCCCTTGCCCTCGAACGTCTCTGAATAAAATCAATACTATAGAAAAAGATGTCCTGTTTATTCTGTGATTTTCCACACTCCTATGTGGCCCTCACTCCCACCAAAAGTCCTGAGATTTGGCTCCTGCCTCTTATTTTATTCTCATTTGTTTACTAGTCTCTCTCTTTCCCTACCTCACCTCCAACCAAAGTACTGCAGTTCCACAAAAGTAACATGCAGTTTCATACAAACGTGTGCTTGGAATAAACGCTCTTTCTTCCTACTTTACCCTGTGAATTTCTATTCACATTTCGTAACAGGTCAATCAGTATCACTTCAATTACCCCTTCCCCATGCCCCCATTTTCTCCTATACTAACTAGGGCCCAGAGCCCTGGTGTCGCAGTGCTTAAACGTTAGGCTGTTAACCAAAAGGTCGGCAGCTGGAATCTACCAGCCACTCCTTGGAAACCATACGAGGCAGTTCAACTCTATCCTATAGGATCGCTATGAGTTGGAATCACTCCATGGCAACGGGTTCGGGTTTTTTTTCTTTTTTTGGAACTAGGGCCTCATCACACTTAATTGCATTCTTAGCTCCTTAAAAGGAAGGTCCTCAATCTTATCTGTGTCTCCCCATTGCCTAGCACACATCTGTTAAACGACTGGTTACATTAGCTTCCTTCATTATACGGATTTAAGTAATAAAGATTCTGTCGGGGTCCCTAACCTAAAACTGCCGGGAAGCTTCCGATGTCACTACCAATGAAAAACCGTGGTTTGACTCTAGAGAAGGCTCCGGACTTCGCCAAGATCACCCTCAGTGGTGTTTCATGACGCTACTACCTCCACACCCCTCTCCCCGGCGGTAACAGTCAACCCAGCTCAAGCTCCTAACCTAAATAGAAAGCCCAAGGACAGGCAAATACAGCCCACGTGCTTCCAACAGGAACTCAGCCCCTTAACGTAGTTCCGTCAAGTACTCTCTCTAACTGACATCCCTATGGTTCAATTACGTTTCGAGGTTCAGAGGGTTGCCCCTAACTTAACATTATCCAATGAAAAAAAGGAACTTCAGATTAGCGCTAGTTTTAACCAACGGGTGAGAGGATGATAATTTATTAACCTATAGAATCAGCGCTGAGAATGACGAGCAGCAAATTTCTCCAATAGACGTGCCTACAGCAGACTAGACCTCGCCCCAACTGCCGCGGAGTTCGCGGCAGAGGCAGGTGCGGGACTCAGTCGCCACCCAGACTCCGCCATGTTGGGGCTTGTGGGTCGTGTGGCCGCTGCGTCGGCCTCCGGGGCCTTGCGAGGACTTAGCCCATCAGCGTCGCTGCCCCAAGCACAGCTCTTGCTGCGGGCCGCCCCGGCATTGCTCCAGCCTGGTAAGTCCCTCTGTCTAGGATCCGGACTTTTTTCGCGCCATGACCTTGAGCTGGGGGTCGATTGTCTCTCGGGCCTAAGGAATCCATGGTGTTAGAAGGACGCCAGGGGCAGCGCCCTGCCTTCTGACGGCGGGAGAACAAGAACAGATCGCTCTTGAGACCTTTCTTCGACCCAGTTACGTCCCATATTGGGGAAGGGACGCTGTGTGTGACGGAAAAGTGCAGGCAGGTGCGTTGACCTTCCCGTAAAATAGGTATTCTCGATAATGGAGTTTGGTGCATGAAAATGGGAAGGCCTTGCAGGCGCTTTCTCGGCTGCTGCTTGGCTCTCACTTTGGACACGCCTTCCGTGCAAGCGGAAGGCCGAATCCACCTCTCCTAATGGTATAGAGTCGGGGCTCCCGATGACCTTTATCCGTCCTGACTCCAACTCCTTCCGATGTCCTTTTGTCTGTTAGGCAGAGACTATGCAGCGCAAACATCTCCTTCCCCAAAGGCAGGCGCCGCCACGGGGCACATCGTGGCAGTCATCGGTGCAGTGGTGGACGTCCAGTTTGATGAAGGACTACCCCCCATCCTAAATGCTCTGGAAGTGCAAGGCAGGGATACCAGGCTGGTTTTGGAGGTGGCCCAGCATTTGGGTAAGTAGAATTTGTTAAGAATAGTAAAGTGGTTGTTTAGTCGAAATATCCCCCAAAACAGGCCGTATCCCTTCTGTGATGATTTTATCAGAATGACTTTCGTTCTTCTGAATTTGCTGAAGCCAAATTTTTTGTCTGAGAAGGAGTCTTGGTTGACTTAGTCTTTTTCTGTCAGCAACACTTCATTAAATACAATGAAACCAACTTGTCCATATGTATAATTTAAACACTTCATTTAACAGGTGAGAGCACAGTAAGGACCATTGCTATGGATGGCACTGAAGGCTTGGTTAGAGGCCAGAAAGTCCTGGATTCTGGTGCACCAATCAGAATTCCTGTTGGCCCTGAGACCTTAGGCAGAATCATGAATGTCATTGGAGAACCTATTGATGAGAGAGGTCCCATCAAAACCAAACAGTGAGTATCCCTCCTGTTCCATCTCTTTGCAAAGGGACTGCTTTTTCTTGCAGTTTTATACATTAAGGTGACACCTCTGTTACCGCAGAATTTCCCTGAAGAGAATACTGACAATGCTGATACATTCAGTTATTAAAATCACATAATGCAATTTCTGAAGAAATTAAGGATGCTGGAAGTTCTGATTTGACAGTGTTTTAGTACCAATGGCTTAGGTGGTGGGGTCTCCAAAACTTGCAGGTCCGTTTCCTTTTGGTGTGTGAAGAAATGCTGTTAAGTAAGGGCTCAGTAAAAGGAAAAACTTTTGTCAGTTAAAGTTGTCAGGGGGTGGGATTACTGGTTCCTAATAATGAAGTTCCCTTTATTGCAATCAGGCTAGGTACTGATGACAGCTTGTGTAGAATGTTGAATGCTGGAGTTGGGGGGTGTGAGAGTGAGTAAAGGATTGGACTTGAGAGGAAGCTTTAAGACTTGTCCGCAGTCACTTTCAACAAAGGGAATAGGCTGATCCTCTCCTCCTGCCTTTACAGGTTTGCTGCTATTCATGCTGAGGCTCCTGAGTTCGTGGAGATGAGTGTTGAGCAGGAAATTCTGGTTACTGGTATCAAGGTTGTGGATCTGCTGGCACCCTATGCGAAGGGTGGCAAAATTGGTATGTTAGTAGTGGGTACATATTTTCCAAGCCTAATGTGTAAGGAAAAATCATGTGGGTATTGGGGTCTATCCCTCACTGATGAGCAGCTTCTGACTTTCGTTCTTCTGAGTTTGCTGAAGCCAGATGCCATTCCTGAGAAGGGAAAAGATGGAAAGAATCAAAATTTCTTTGAAGTTTACTTATTTGGGAATGCAGAACTCTTATTCTTTCTTCTAAACCTCTCGCAGGGCTTTTTGGTGGTGCTGGAGTTGGCAAGACGGTACTGATCATGGAATTAATCAACAATGTTGCCAAAGCCCATGGTGGTTACTCTGTGTTTGCTGGTGTTGGTGAGAGGACCCGCGAGGGCAATGACTTATACCATGAAATGATCGAGTCTGGTGTTATCAACTTGAAAGATGCTTCCTCTAAGGTGAGCCAGTGTCCACAGAGTAATTGCTAGTTGTGCCAGGAAACGCTTGCCATTGACTATATTGTCAGCTGAAGTCATGTATTACTTTCTTATTTTAATGTCCAGGACCTACAAAGGAAATGCCTATCAGTGTTTTCTCCCCAACTTCGAATACGCTAATGCATTTTTTTTTTTTTTCTTTGATATTAGATTACGTTTCTGGACTTTGTTTTTGCTAGTCCCATCATTTGAAAGCTAATTTTGGGCAGAGGTTGGGAGGTGGTTCATATGTCTTGGATAACCCTATTTGGTGCTTTTCATTTACAAGTATTTCCTTCCTACTACAGGAATTTTACCTCAGTAACATATAAGAAATTACTTATGTGTTGTTTTGAACCACATCTCTAATAGGGGAAAGAAATTTGAGAACAAAAGCAGTTGATACCTTCTGAGAAAGGGGGTCTCAACCCTCCTTGTTGGTGGTTTCTCTCTGCTTTGGGAACCTTGGGCCTTTGGCTGCCATACTTCTCTACCAGGTTTCCTGATGGTATATGACCTACCACAGGTAGCGCTGGTGTACGGTCAGATGAATGAACCACCTGGTGCTCGTGCCCGAGTAGCTTTGACTGGACTGACTGTGGCTGAATACTTCAGAGACCAAGAAGGTCAAGATGTACTGCTGTTCATTGATAACATCTTTCGCTTCACCCAGGCTGGCTCAGAGGTAAGAAGGCAGGCTTGAGAGGACTCATACGACCTTTCTATGGGATAATGCAGATGAGGGTAAAGATATAGACAGAAATCTTTGTTCTTAGTTTTTTTTTCATTGTTGTTAAGGTGTCTGCCTTATTGGGCAGAATTCCCTCTGCTGTGGGCTATCAGCCTACCCTGGCTACTGACATGGGTACCATGCAGGAAAGAATCACCACCACCAAGAAGGGATCTATCACCTCCGTACAGGTAAGAAAAATTACATGGAGGAAGGTATACTTTGTATAAAAGCATGTAGAGAAAGACATAAAACCTAGTTGCTTCCATCTCAAATGGGATCTTAACCTAAGGTTCATGAGCTCCCCAAAATAACATGTAAAGCTCTGTATGGGCATGTCAAAGACCCTACAAAGTTAAGTTACACTCATTTAAAGTAATTGAAGGTATGGATGTAAATTAAGATCACAAAACTGGGTTCCAGTCTGGAGCAGCATGGAAAGTGAGTTTTGTATACTACGTTAATATACTGCAAATTTTCAAATGTGTATAGATGGTGTATATATTAAAAAGGCTAAATTAGTGTAACTGTCCGTGATGCATTTTCATAGTGAGCTTAGTATTGTCGTGGTGCTAGAAGGGTTTTGTTTTGTTTTAATTCTGAAAGTGGGTACCATTACAGGAGAGCTAAAATGTAGGATGAAGAAAAGGAATGACAATGAGAATTCTTTTGAAGAGGGAGGGGCCAGATAACCTACAAACTCACTTAGGTGGTAGGGGTGAAAAGGCTCTTTTGAAGCGGACTTTTGAATGCTAAGATAGATTATGGAGGACAGGTAGTCAGAAAGGGGGATGGCTTACGTAGAGTGACTTTGCTTCCTGTTGCTCTTTATGGATTCTTGGTTCACTTTAGGCTATCTATGTGCCTGCTGATGACTTGACTGACCCTGCTCCTGCCACTACGTTTGCCCATTTGGATGCTACCACTGTGCTCTCCCGTGCTATTGCTGAGCTGGGCATCTATCCAGCTGTGGATCCTCTAGATTCCACCTCTCGAATCATGGATCCCAACATTGTTGGCAGTGAGCATTATGAAGTTGCCCGGGGGGTGCAAAAGATATTACAGGTGAGTACTGCTGTGTGAGATCAGTGGCCATGAAGAGGGAATTTGGGGGCTGTGTTTATTACCTGTTGGCCGTCAAGTCGATTCTGACTCAGCAACCCTATAGGACAGAGTGGAACTGCCCCATAGGGTTTCCAGGGAACAGCTGGTGGATTCAAACTGTCGACCTTTGGGTTAGCAGCTTGAGCTCTTAACCACTGCGCCACCAGGGCTCTGAGGGCTGCTAGTAGTACTAGATACTTCCCAGAGATAGCTGTGATTTGCTTGGGGGAAAGGAAAGGTGAGAGCCACAATTTCTAGTGATTACTAAGGAGGTCTCTTGGAATCTAGTTTTTTCCAATAGTACCAGGCTAGGAGTAGGGGGAACAAATTGCTGATATGGCTGAGGATCCTCATGATTCTTGAGTATGTAATTTCCCCTCTTACTAGCTTGTTTCACTTGTGAATGCAGGTAAGGTGCTAAAATGCTTTGTACAAAGCTCAGTGTGAATGTAAAGTGGTATTAACTCTCAGTTTTTTTTTGTCCAAATTGAATGTGAATATTTACTCAGGCCTCTTGTGTTTTTTCTCATAGGACTACAAATCCCTCCAGGACATCATTGCTATCCTGGGCATGGATGAACTCTCTGAGGAAGACAAGCTGACTGTGTCTCGTGCGCGGAAAATACAGCGTTTCTTGTCCCAGCCATTCCAGGTTGCTGAGGTCTTCACAGGTCACCTGGGAAAGCTCGTACCCCTGAAGGAGACCATCAAAGGATTTCAGCAGATTTTAGCAGGTAAGATTTTGAGTACAGAGCAGAACACGGAATGGCAGAGAAACTGAAATTTAAATCTGGAATGTTTCTGGTTGTTCCAAGTGAATTACAACAACCGTATAAGCACTATTACCTTACTTGACAAACGACAGCACTGAAGCACAGAGAAGTTTCAATAACCTGTCCAATGTCCCACAGCCAAGGTAGAGAGCAAGAATTTGAACGTAGATTGCCTGGCTCCAGACTGTGTTCTTAATTCATATTGTATCATGTGTCCTTGTAAATTTGATGTGTGGGGGAAGTATTAAGATTTCTTAGTATGACATGAATTCATTTCATTCTGACCGTAAGCCTCAGTGAATGAGCTATATATATACTGCAGCAAGCTGACATCCCTCTTTCTCACTAGTTTTTTTATTTTTTTGTCTAGGTGAGTATGACCATCTCCCAGAGCAGGCCTTCTACATGGTGGGACCCATTGAAGAAGCTGTGGCAAAAGCTGATAAGCTGGCTGAAGAGCATTCGTGAGGGAGTCCTTTGGGCAAACTGTCCACTGTGTTCTCCATCTCCTTGTCCCCCCCAATCCAAAAAGCTTCAGTTTTCTGTGTAGGCCACAGGAGAGCCTCGTTTGAAGATGTTGTGTTCTGTCTTAAGAGTATTTAAGGTTTCCAATAAAACATACATCCCTCAGATCTGTCTGCTTTTCTGGGGAGATACACTAAATGCTTAAATATTTTATTTTCCTTGATTCTGACAACACAGCCAACACTGAAGTTTTTGACAGTAAAGTTTTTAGAGTGGCCACAAGAAACTGTTTTTAGCACAAAGCAGAACATGTATGTGGTCATCAAAAGAATAATCATTCTCTGGGAATAATAGACAACTGTAGGTTTTATGAGGGCTTTTCTGTGGGTAGTAACAGGGCTAGGGTTTAACCCTCTTAAAAGCAGATTGATTTTCTTACCTCTTAAATATTCGTACTTCATGGTTAATGAGCAAAGGTTGATGGAATTTCTGAGAAGGGCATATTTGGGAGAAATGGGTGGGATTTCAGAATAAATTTTTCTATGACAGGTCAGGGCTAATCAGTGGATTAAATTTAATTTTTATTAAGGAATGGTGATGATGAAAAGATTAATACCGATCTGTGTAAAAACTGGGTCAAAAGAGCTCCCTGTATTGTAGTATAGGCCTTTCTCCAGAAAGTCTTCCCAGCTATTGCCTCTTAATTTTTATTTTGGGCAACACTGGACTTAAATGTTTGTGATTTCTTGAGGCTATACCATGCCCTTACAAAAGTTTAGGAAAGATACAGGGGATTCACAATTTTCAGTTTAGCTGGGTTTGGGCATCTGAAATAGTGGAATTAGATCCTTTATTCTTTTATTTTAGCCTAATAAAATATGCAAGGTTAGAAGTATTCATAAAAATACAACTACCATTTCAGTTTAAAACAAGTGTCTACTGTGGGGCAAGTTTGCATTTGGTACCCCTAAGTGTTCTAATTTAAGGAGCCCCGGTGGCACAGTGGTTAAAGCGCTTGGCTGCTAACAAAAAGGTCTGCGATTTGAACCCACCAGATGCTCCACAGGAGAAAGACGTGGCAGTCTGCTTCCGTAAAGATTAACAGCGTTGGAAAGCCTATGGGGCAGTTCTGCTCTGTCCTATAGACCGACGGTAGTGAGTTTGGTACTTTGGGGCTCAGACCCATTTTACTGCCCTCTGGTGGAGGGACTAGAGGCAGTCACCAGAGCTCTAGTCTCCCCATTTTGAAATCCGTGAAGGCCATTTGCTGGGATGTGGTTCTCAGCTAATCACTGTTTACAAATCAGCTGCGGCTTTTGTGCTGAGGAGGAGTCTGCAACTATAAGCTCCTCCTCCTGAGGCATTCAAGCTTTGGTTGGGTAAGAAGCAGGGCGGGGATATACTGAACTCCCAATTCAGAGGCCCCTGGGGGCTGAAGGTTGGGGAGGGGCTTTGGGAGAGGCGCCAGGGGTGGAGTAGGGGCCTCTATGCTTCCTCCTGTCTGCCTATGACGTCCTTGGCAGCAGTTTCTTCTGTGTCATGATCTGGACGGAAGGTGGAGCCCCTAAGCTGTCTGTGCTAGGTAGTTTGCTACCAGAAAATCATAGATTTTGGGAAATGCTGAGTTACAGGGGTGGGGGCACTTCCTCTTGGTCCTGACTCTGGTGTGGATAAAAAGCTAGTGGAGAAAGCCCCAGGGAATGGGTCAGCACTTTCTGATTCGCTTTCCCTCATCACCTACATGCTGACCTGGGAACTGTGATCCTAAAGGTAGTCTGCATCCTTCCGCCCCCTTCCCCCACACATTTACGTCCCTCAGCACTTATCAAGAACCTTCACCCTCTCACCAGCTGCAATTATTTCCTTCCCCCATGCCACTGGAGTGTCAACACAGATCTAACCTTCCTCCATATTTCTCCTGATTTGCCCTGTCCTAGCCTCCTCCTCCCTCTCTCCACCCAGAGAAAGCCCCGCCCTTCCCTCCTCCCCGCCCCCCCACCCCCCAGTCTGTCACACGGGGACATCACCCAACAGCAGTTCAGGCTGTGGTTCGCAGGAAGCACACATTGGCTTTTTGATTCTTGCTAGTTCCCAGCTCACAATTTGGGAGGATCTAACGCCAGCCTTCACGTGAAGGGGGACCCAAGGACAGTGCAGAGCTGGGTGGTCCCAGCCCTGGAGCCCGGCTAGCCTGACATGGGTGAGTATGGGGACCAGCCCCCGGAAGGGTCTGAGGGATGCCTAGCTCCCTCCCAGGCTGACTCAGCAGGGGTGTGGCCTAACCTTTGCTCTTTGGGGGAGTAAAGGAGGGGAAAGGGGGCCATTGGGGGCACAGGGCTTAGCTAGTGAGGCTGCTGACCCTGGGATCCTGAGTATTGGCAAGCTTGAGCACTAAGAGCTTGAGACTCTGCACCTTAGGTCAGCTGCTCCCCCTCCCCCGCGAAGTACAGCTCCTGGATTGTCCCTTTCTAAGCTGCTGACAGTCAAAGTAATATTCTGCAGTACTCACTGCTATCGGCCCCCTGCAAGTAAAGCTCACTTTTGGTTGTGTTCCAGGATCTTTAGGGTGCTTCCTCTCCCCCAGTTTTCTCCCTGGGCCTAAGTCCCTGTCCTCTCTCCTCCCCCACCCAACCCGCCACCAGGTGGGGGCTGCACTGAGCAGCTGCTTCCTGTTGCCCCTGAGGTTGCAGCAAAGGGTGGTGGTGGTTGGGGGAAAACTGAATTAGAATAAATCCGATTCTCACGGTTCCCCATCAACCTCGCTTACTAGGGCTGCTATTGGCGGCCCCCCACACGCCAGTCTCTGAGGTCACTGAGAGGCGGGACTGAGGTTGAGAAGACTAGGAGGTCTTTGCTCTCATGGCTTCCTGATTCCAGAGGCTTTTAAACTTGGGCAGTGTTGGAGGAAGGAGGCTGTGCCTTTCCACAGCTGTAAGCGATGGGGCCCTGAGAAGCTGAAACATGGGGAACCTGTTCACCTAGTAGGACGCTGTGCGTGACCCCCAGCAGGCTTGGCCTTGCGTTCCCTCGTCGGCATCTCCACTCCTCCGTGGCGTCCTTGTGGCTCTCGCTGCCTTCCCGGCCTTTGTGAAGAGGTCTTTGTCGGTGCCCTGGGGGCGCGGGCAGAGCTCTCCAGTGTCCTCCAGTTCGGAGCTACCGCCTCCCTCAACCCCACCCCACCGCTGAAGTTTCTGTCTCTTCTGGGATCTATTCTCTTCCTCCATCTGGGATCCTTCCTGGTTCTGGCCCCTAGGAGACGCCACCCGCTTCCCCCTCCCCCAGCGGATCCTTCGCGACAGTCCTCCTAGAGCGCCTGTCCTCACCCCAGCAGCTCTGCCCCTTTAAGCGCCACCTCCCCCCCCCCCAACGCCGCTGCCACCGGCCCGGGGCTGTGGGAAGAGGCGCCGCCGCCGCCGGGCGCGGCCACCTGCGCTGCCGCCGCCGCCGCTGCCGCCTGCGGCGGGGCCCTGCTCCAGGTGAGGCCCGGCTCCAACCTCCGGCCCCGGTGTCCCCGGGCGGGCCTCTACCGCGGTCCCCTGCCCCAGGACTCAGGATCTGACCCTCCCCCCGCGGGAGCTGCCCTTGCTCTCTCCCCTGTACTATCTACTCGCCCATTTCTCCCCGGTCCTCTGCTACCGGAATCCGGAGGCTTCTCACGCCTCTCCGCCATCCTCTCCCGGGTACCCCTCCTACTCTGAGCGCAGGATCTCCCCCTCCCCCGCGCCATCCTCGCCAGAAAAATCTCCCGCGGTCTGGGTTTCGCCTCCTCCCCTCTGGAACCAGCGCTTTCCCACGCCATCCTACCCTTCAGTGGGAGGGGGAATAACCGCCACCCCAACTCCTCTCTTTCCCCATAGTAAGGGGGGGGCGGGGGGCTTGGGTAAACTCCTGTCACTACCGGGCCCCGCTCCGCTCAGTCCTTCAAGTTCAACTAAGTCCCATCTAAAGCTTTTCCGTAGCCCTTACCCCACCCCACTTCTCCCTAAGTTTGAGGGTCCGACCTCAGCGCCTGCCAGGGCTCTCTACTTGGTGGGGTGGGCTGGTCCAGTCTGGGAAAGCTCCTACCCCGAGTTAGGGAGGTGGGGAGGGGTGCTGCAGAATGTTGTGATGGGGGAGGTGGGGGGAGGCGGGGCAAACCTAATCCTCTCTGTTCACGTGCAAAGGGAGCCCCCACCCCCAAGGAAATTAGGTGTCCCTTCCTAGGACCACCTTGGAGAAGCCCATTAGGGGAGTTCAGAAACAGACTGGGGTGTGAGTCTGAAGGAGTGTATATCTCCTTAGAGGGAAGAAGAGGAGGGGTTATACTTTTCATGTGGTATGGAGGAGTCTAGCCTCCCCAAAATACAGAGGTAGAGCAGAAGGTTTTGTATTAACCTAGGGAGGAGGGCCAGTTGGAATGGTTACAGAAGGTGAGGGGAGTCTCCCTCCTAGACCCCATTAACTGTTTGATCCATTCAACGAGCGGGTGGGAGGGGGGAGAAAGAAAAGGAGGTCTTTAATAATTACCCTCACCTGAGCCACCTCCACTGGGGAGCTCCCCCTCCTCCCAAGTCAAGCTGTGCCCCTAGCTCTGCTCCTTCTCTCCCTTCTTGTGTTCTCACTTGCCACCCCAGAATTGGGGGACAGGGTATCAGGATTCGCTTCAGACTTTTCTGAGTCCTGTTTGATGGTGCTGGGAGGGAGCTGGGTGAAAGTGGTCAGCAGTGGTGTCTGAAGTTGGATGCCGGGAGTATCTAGAACGGGAGAGGGAAGCAAACGAATCCCCTTTTTCTCTCCCTTTCTCTCTCTTCCCCCTCCCAGCCCCAGCCATCTGGTTCCACGGTGGAGCCAGGCACTGGCAGCTGACCCCAGAGTCGGGGTGGTGCAGCAGCAACAGGGAGGGTGAGAAAGGGCGAGCAGGTGCTCATTTCTCCCTCCCCATTCTACTCATTACACACCCACTGGCCTGGCTTGGAGAGGTTCGGTCTATTCCCTAGACACCCTTCTCACAAGTTGCTGAAAAATGACCATTTGCCCCTTCCCCTTTCTAGTAGCTTCCTAAAGCGGGATGGGATGGGTGAGCAGCCACATGGGATGGGATTGTGGAATGTTTGGGGACATATGGGGTCAGTCTGCCCTCTGTTGTCTGGCTGGGGGGAGAAGCACAGCTGCTGCCTGAGGTGGCTTCTGGCAAGAAGGAAACACCCTGCCGTTGGGCATATTGGCATCCCACCCTCATCTTTTTCTTAAACAGCAAGGAAGATCCCTATGTAGATAGGATGAGGAAGGTTCTTATTCAAGGATGAAGGTGACTGAAGAATGGTTCCTGCTCCATTTTCTTTTCTAAACCCAGCTGACCCTCTCCTATCCAACGTATCTCTTCCCAACATGCTCCTGGCTGGGATAGTCCTAAGGGTTGCCCTGGAGACAAGGCCTCGGGCTCGGAAGCGGTGGGGGCAGTCTGTAGGGCACAGGAGTAACCGGCTCTTCCTGAGCAGAGTGGTGCCAGCGAGTGGGTGTGTGTGGTGTTGGGGGGGGTGGGGGTGGGCGTGGCTACACCCGTCTGACTGGCACAAACTCCTCTGCCTTCCTGGTCTCTGAGTGGCTAGCCCTACCCTTTGGGTGGGAGGTAGGAAGATTCTCCCTCATCTGCCCTGGAAAAAGGAAAAGGAAAAAAAAAAAAAAAAGGGATACCAGTTCTCTCTTTCTGCCCTTCAAGAACCAGTTCCACAGCCTGAGCTCTCTTCTCCACCGGCCTTTATTTTTTATTTTGGGCTTGGAGGGGGAAATTCTTTAGCAGAGGTTTCCTGAGTGGCACCTACTCGCTCAGGGGCTTGAGGTTAGCAGACTGTTAGGAGTCTTTATTTTTTCAAGATGACCTATAAATCTGTTCTAACTGGGAGAAGGGTTTCTACCTGTCTACTCCTTAATCTACTTATCTCAGGAGAGGAAGAGCAAAATCTTCTTTCCCTTCTTATTCTTCCCTCTCTCTGGCCCATGCACTTTGTGGAGCTTTGCAGAAGATAGCTCCTTCATAGCTTCCATGAACCATTTGTAGTGGGGGGTGTTGTTAGGTGCCATTGAGTCGGTGCTGCGCCATCCTCACAATCATTGCTGTGCTTGTGTCCATTGTCGCAGCCACTGTGTCAGTCCATCTCATTGAAGGTCTTCCTCTTTTTCGCTGACCCTCTACTTTACAAAGCATGGTGTCCTTCTGCAGGGACTGATCCCTCCTGACAACATGTCCAAAGTATGTAAGATGTAGTCTTGCTTCTAAGGAGCATTCTGGTTGTCCTTCTTCCAAGACAGATTTGTTCGTTCTTTTGGCAGTCCGTGGTATATTCAGTATTCTTCGCCAACAGTAGAAGTAGACCGCTAGGTCCTTCTTTCTAGTCTGTCTTAGTCTGGAAGGTCAGCTGAAACCTGTCCACCATGCGTGACCCTGCTGGTATCTGAATACTAGTGGCATAGCTTCCAGCATCACAGCAACATGCAAGCCCCCACAGTACGACAAACTGACAGACATGTGGGGGGTAGTGGGGAGTGGAGTAGCAAAATCCAGTCTAGACTGATGACTTTGGCCTTGCCCCACCCTGTCCCCACCCAGTTTTCAGATCTTTTTTTTTTCCCAGACCCCCAGAGGAAAAGGTATTTATGGATCGCTCTCCAACCTAGCAGAACTCCTGATCCTAGCTCTGTCTGTTGTTCTTTCAGAATATTCAGTGCAATAGAACGGCACTGCATTAAATTGAATGGGAATTATTTTTAAGCCTGAAAAGTCTGTTGAGTTGCCAGGAAAGGACACCTGGTTTTTAGTCACCTTTTATCCACTGTTTTGACTTGAACAAGTTGGTTAACCTCTCTGGGCCTTAATTTCTTCGTCTGACAAGTTAGAATTAAAAGTTCTCTAAGCTCTGACATCTTATGATAGTGTTCCTTTCTGGGGCCTTCGATAGACATTTTAGGTGACAAACTCTAGTCGTCTGCCAGATTTGCTTCTTGTTCTCAGGTTTCATACAGTTATATAACCCTATCAGAAAAAGTACTGGAATTATAGCCTCTATAAGAGGTGGACATTTGTGCATCCTATTTGCTGGTCAATTTTCCCATTATTCCCTGATCCTCTGACTGTTTAGGCCAGACTCTCATCTTCCCTGCCTGGTCCCAGAGCCAAGTCTCCTCTTCCCACGCACAGGAATCTTCTCAACGTCCAGGGCCCTG